ATAATTTTGAGTAAACGCACTTTCGTTAAAATATTCGGGCTTTATAAATTTCTTTTATCTAAGCGGAACTCTTTTTCTTTTTGAGAAAATGAAAGAGTGTAAAAAAAGTAGAGAAATGTCCATGGCCTCCTAGATCACAATTTAAAATCTATTTTTTTTCTTTAAAAAACAACTTTGGTTTTATGATTTGAAACTTCAGGCCAATTATTTATGTAAAATGATAACCCCACTCTTCATTAGCTCGTACTAAACAGATGTATTTGTAAACAGTGTCACGAGTTCTAATGTTTACATTTTACCGGGTGTGTTCGATGTGCTGATACTGCTCACATCACTGATCACAAACAGGCAACACCAGAGTGTTGGATTTGACTTACATTTAAAAAAAAAAAAATCTTGATTTTAGTTTAATTTTTGTTGTTATTCTTTTCGTAGTTCACAAGAGTGCAAGAATTTATCCTCCTTCAAACGATCATGTTCATGTATCTTTTATATATTTTTTATGTCACTGTCAGAATGTTAGATTGATTTTTCTTAATAATTTTGAAATGACATCACTAAATATTGTGTACTGGAATGTGCATGGCCTCAGTGATGAAAAGTTAAATGATGATCTTTTACAAAACTTGTGTACAAAATATGATATTGTTTGTTTAGCTGAAACAATGCTTAAGGATTCAACAAGAAATCTTCCAGGATTTTCTCCACCATTTGTTTTGAACTCAAAAAAGATAAAGAAAAGGGGTAGACCATCAGGTGGATTACATATATATATAAAACCTACAATATACAAACACTTTAAAAAAGTATTTCAAAGTGAAAATAGCATTTGGCTGGAAACTAACATTCAAAACACAAATTCACAGCAGAATAGTGATTCATATTATTTTTGTTTCTGTTATATAAAACCATATATAAATAAAGCTAAATCCGAAGAAATATTTTCTAATTTAGAAAATGAAATTGCAAACTACAGAAGTAAAGGAGAGATTTTTATTTGTGGAGACTTTAATGCTCGCACTGGGGGGCTTTTTTTATACAACATGACACACTAAATGATACATTTTTGGATTGCCCTCTGCCAGAAAACATATATGAGCCTGACATTTCAGTGAGCAGAAACCAACTCGATAAGACATCAAATTTACATGGACATCTACTCACTGATATTTGTAAAACATATAGATTATCTATCCTGAACGGAAGATTTCTTGGTGACTCACTTGGCTATTTCACATTTTTTAATTCTAATGGTTCAAGCACTGTTGACTATATGTTGGCATCAAGTCAGTTGTACCATAAGATCGAACATTTCAATGTTTTACCTCCAACAGAAATATCAGATCATTGTCTTATAACTGCAAGTGTACATATGAACATGGACCTGTTTTGTAAGGAAAAATATAAAATACACTCTTTAAAGGGGAAATACCTCTGGTCAAGCACTTGTAAAAACCAATATGTAGAAGCTATTAATGAGGAAGAAACAAAAAATCAAATACTTATGTTGAATAATTTACTAGATGAAATATATGATGATAACACATATGATTCAAATGATCTTGTCGATAAACTGTCAAATATTATAATTAATGCAGCAAATAAAAGTGTTCCATTTAAACCTGCAAAATTTACAAAATCAATTAGAAAAAATAAACAAAAACCAAAATGGATGAATACAGATTGTCTACTTTTACGAAAAGAAGTTAGAAATTTAGGAAAGAAAGTACACAAATATCCAAACAACTGTGAACTAAAACATGCCTTCGCAAACTGTAGAAAAAATTATAATAAATTAAGGAAAAATCTTAAATCAACTTTTTACAATAGTATAGCAGAAGAAATAAACTCGCTTTCACCACAAAACTCTAATAAATTTTGGAATAAGATGAAAGAAAATAAATCAAAGAAAACTAATGCAGAAGCAATTGGAATTTCAGAATTCGTTGATCATTACAAATCGCTACTGAACATACAATATGCTGATGAAGAAAGCTCAAAATACAAATTTACTGAACTAAATACTGAACCAAATCCATTAGACTTTTTGTTTACTCAAGATGAAATTAAACAAAGCATTTTAAAGCTAAAAAATGGTAAAAGTGCTGGGCCTGACTTAATCTTAAATGAATTTATTAAAACAAACAATACTTCTCTTTTACCAGTTCTTACAAAACTGTTCAATATTTTACTAAAAAATGGAAAAATGCCCAACGAATGGAACCTATCACTTATTAGCACTTATTACCTCATTATACAAAAATGGTGACCCTAATAATACAAACAATTATAGAGGTCTCAGTGTTACAAGTTGTTTAGGAAAACTTTTTACAGGCCTTCTACAGAAACGCTTAGATAATTATCTTGAGTCAAATAACCTACTAAGCCAATATCAATCTGGATTTAGAAAAGGTCATAGGACCACAGACAATATATTTGTATTAAAAACACTTGTAAACAAATATCTTTATGCAAAGAAACAGAATTTATATGTGTGTTTTGTAGATTTTTCAAAAGCATTTGATACTGTATGGAGATCCGCACTTTTATACAAATTGAATAAAAAGGGTATTGGTGGTAACTTTCTCAAACTTTTAACAGACATGTATTCGAACACATACTATTCTTGTAAAAAAGACAATCAAATGAGTGAGAAATTTAAAGCAAATAGAGGAGTCAAGCAAGGTGATAATTTAAGTCCAACACTTTTTAATATTTTTGTTGATGATTTTGTGAATTATTTCAAGAATGTAAGTACATATCCTGCTTATCTAGATACTATGCCAATTAATCATATGTTTTTTGCTGATGATCTTGTCCTTGTATCAGAATCAGAAGCTGGTCTACAAAATTGTATAGATATTTTAGGAAAATATTGTTCAGACTGGAAATTGTGTGTTAATATGGAAAAAACAGGTGTTATGATTTTTTCAAAAAAATCTGTTGATGAAGCATCATTTAGATTTTATTATAATCACAAAATGATTAACATAACAAATGAATATAAATATTTGGGTGTTGTGTTTAGATCTGATGGGAAAATGAAATTTGCTGCTGAACAGCTATCAGAACGTGCTAGAAAAAGCATATTACGCTATTAAATCAAATTTTCCTGCAAATGTTAATTTTTCTGCTGAAATTATGTTGAAATTATATCAGTCAATGATAATACCAATTATAACATATGGATCTGAAATATGGATAACTGACTTTAAATGTGATTTAATGTCTTCAGACCAGTTTCCTTTTGAAAAAACACAGCACTTGATATTTAAAGATATACTAGGGGTACACAGAAAGGCATCAAATCTTGCTGTTTTATGTGAGTTGGGTCGTTTTCCTTTGTACTATTTATGTTATGAATATATGTTAAAATATTATATGAGACTGAAGGAAATGGAATGCAACCATGATTATAACAATTATTTAGTGGTATCTGCATTTAAAGAAGACAAAAATCTTGTATCTAAAATATCTTGGCAAAAGAAACTGTCTTCATTACTACAAAAATTAAATATTAGTTCTTTGGAAATATCTCACATAACTTTGAAAAACAAATTACAAGAGCATTACCAAAACAAGATATATGAACAACTGGAAAAAGTTAGCAAATCAGACTCTGGAAAGTTAGCATTTTATAGCAAAATTGTGAATCAAGATGAATACAAACTGCAAAGTTATTTAAAACTACCCCTGAAGAAAAGTTGTAGATCTTTATTAACAAAATTAAGGATCAGTGCCCATCCACTATATATTGAAACGGGTAGATACTGTAAACCCCCTATTCCTAGAGAAAAACGTTTATGTTACTCATGTAAATTGTTTGTTGAAGACGAAAAACATTTTGTTCTTTATTGTCCAAAGTATGATCAATATAGATGCAATTATAATGATATATTTAATGTAAACACATATACTAGTGATAACCCCATTAGAAAAATTGTCAATCCTACAAATATTTCAACTGCTAGAAGGATATGTTGTTTCTTGAAAAAGTGCTTTGACATCAGAAAAGAAAGTCAAAAATGAATATTAATATTGAGAAATACACAATTTTGTTCACCTCATATTTCTCACTTTGTATATGCTTGTATTAATTGTGTTAATTTATGTTATGTTATTCATGTTCATGACTGTATGCCGACATGGTAATTGTCAATAAAGTGAATTGAATTGAATAATCAGCTATGTCCACAGTTCAAAGTGTTTTTTAAAAAAAAATGATATTTAGATAAAAATAAATTTCAAAGCAGGTTTCTATTGAGTATTACCCTGAAACGATCTTGCAATGTGTGAGACATTTAAATATTCTACCAAAATTTTTGAAGATCATAAGGGATTACCAACTTCACAATTTTATGGAATCAGACTAGGAAAAACAGAATTTATTTTCCCTGAACATAGTTTAAATTAACTCATAATCGCTGAAAATATATAGGTTGCCACATTTGTAAAGATGAAAGACGTAAATAAATATAAGTATATTCCAACAATAAAAAAAATATAATTACAGTAAACGGTAAGGTGAAAATATGTAAAAACCGGTTTAAATACATAGTTCTGATGCTGAAAGTTCTAAAATAACTGTTTCTTTATATTATGTTGGAATTGTGAGAATGGGCAACCATTTTCCATTAAAAGTACAATACAGAAAATACTGAATGAAGATATATGCGAAAGAGTTGTTACCCTTAGCAAAATTTCTAAAAGATTAGGTTGACCTAGTGCCACAGGGATGGGAGATGACCAGACGAAATGTATTTTTATTTCAGTCAAAAGATCAAGCCCAAAATCTAGGATCAAGCCCAAAAGTGTTGCAAGCAATTTATTCTTGTGAGCAGTCTTTACTTATGGACCCTTTCAGTTTAAATTCTAGTTGACAGCGGAACTCATGTGAGCAAGGTCAATGACATAGAGTTGTTAAGTTAACTAAATTGTTGTAATCTAATCGATAAATTTATTTACAGACAATACTAATGTGTCTTTGCCTACTGCTAGTCCAAAGAGGCAATGGAAGCTTCCCGTTTAGGAACACAGACAAGGAGTGCCGAACTATGCTTCCCTCTATGTTACGATCACCCCCGAGGAAGGACAAAAACCTATTTAAAGTCGCTGTTAGTGACACAATTTACCATGAAGCAATGCATCACATTCAGGGTATAAAAATAAGTTGTCCAAATATGGTCACATTTTAAATCGAAACAAAACTGTTTATACCAATTTACTTAAAAGCTTGATGAGAGTAAAATTAAATTAGCGTTTGAAGGTTCAAAACGAATTTAATTTTCAAATTGTCTCTTTTTATAACCTTAAAGAGGACCATTCTATTCATCTAAGAATACTGTCTTTTTTTATTTTCTTGCAGTAAGTGTAGAAAACAAGACAACCAGCCCGATAATAGGAGTACTATTACAGCCCAGGTTGAGCGGATGTGAGGGACCGGATGTCGATCACAACGTGGGAGAGTTCGAAATGATTGTCGGAAATGATTACTTCAAATTTCTCAACTGCAGAAGAAATCCAAAGGTAACTCACCAAGACATGTGAAGAATCTTGATTCTGTGTTACATTTTTACTAGTTTAGGATGTCTATCGCTATATACTGGTGTGCGGATTTGCTCACCTTTTGTCTCTTCCTATTTCAGGGCGCGGTTATAACCAAACACTGGACTGGTAAACCTTATCAAGGAAAAATAGAAGTCAATTTTATCATTGCCAACACCAAGAGAAAGTTGAAATTTAGGTATTTAACATTTGATATGAGATTAAACAATAAAAAAAAAATATTATTGCTAGGTTTCGGGGAGGGCTTGAAGATTTTCCAATGATATTGTTCTTCATTTTACCTTCTTTTTAATTTTATCTCGGACAAAAACATTGGAAATGTAAATATATGAAAATATACGTATCTATACTGCATTTAAGTGGAAGCTTATTTTGATGTAGTGCAGTGTTTGGGAACTATTCGTATTTTGTATAAACTTGGATCATCAGTTACAGCAAATTGTATTTTGCATTTCATTAGTACGTCTCGCTCTTTAGGTAGAAATCGTCTTGTTTGCCATATAAAGATGCATAGGAGATTAAATCAAACTATAAATTGTCAATAGTGTCGCTGATATATTTTAAAGATAAACTTGAATAAGATATCTCCTGTATTTTTTTTTAGTATTTTTTGAAATATTTGTTTTGAAAGCAAAAAAAAACACCCTCCCTAAATTCAAAGATCTCCTTCCATTTAAAAGCTTATCTACACCCGAAAAACTGCTTTAATTGTATATAAAAAACATTTTATACTTTTTAGCTTTCGTTTAGTTGTGAAGGAAGTTGTTTTGTGGTCTAAAGTACATTTGATGGTAATAATATTTACCCCAATTAAATCAAAGACCCATGTTGTTTGGAAACAGCGTTAACTGGGCATCGAGTTTGGTTCCTCTCCATTTAACAAGTATGGAAAATTCACAATCTCCATCGACAATCAAAGCACACAATACAATAAAATTCATCTTAAATCTTATATATGTAGGGCACTTTTGAATACAGGAATTTTATATCAAAATTTGTAATACAGTTAAAATTTTGGAGACCTAATTTATGATCCATTTACATTTTAACCCCTCAAAGATTTTAACAGCTCGACGTTCGAATTTTATTCTTGAAAATGGAGAATATCTAGTTATTAAATTTCAAATATAAAGGCTAAAAATGAATCTGCATGCATAGAAAACGAAGACATTGACATTTTAATTTTGTCGAGGGAAGCAGAACAGAACACACACTGCCAAAACCCGAGAATTATCCAGACTGTTTTGACAAAATTAAAACGTCAATGTCTCGGTCAGAACTATATTCTTAAAAATTTAGTTTAAATGTCTTCAATATTCATGTAAGGGTACGGGAGACACCTTATACGCAGTCTTCCGAATGGCGAAGTGGTTCAAGTTTTTTTGGTCTAGAATCGCAGTTTAAGGAGTTCACCATTACTTTATTTGTTTGTATATCCACTACACTATCTACTACGTTCTCGGCGAGAACGGACCGTATCGGTGAGTGTTGGTACAAATAAGATAACATGTTGCTCAATAACCAGAAGTGCAGAATGCATGTCAAAATTTGCAGCCTTCCAAGGCTACTGTGTTTGGCGCCAAATAGGAGTCATATGAAATGAAATTCGTTGAAACAAAACAAATCGGGAAAAGAGCAAAAACTGACTTCTTAATACAAGGTCGATAGGATTAGGTGCCATAGAGGAGTAAGCGCCCTCTGTCGACCGTTCACACCCGCCTCCGTGTGCCGAGGCCAGTAAATGGAAAAATCACTCGTTCAGATTCCAAATTTGATTTCAAATCTTAAATGTTAAAAAGCACTCGTTGGGAATATAATGGCCTAAAAATATGTATGAAATTCATTTAATTTAATTATAGACTGTAATTGCTGAAATAGTGTTGGTCATATATTGTAGAATGTGAATATTGAAGACATTTAATTCAATTAATTTTAATAACATATTGTTGACCATAGGATTTGCGAAATGTTGAATTTAAACAATATTTCTACTTTGTACACGTGCTCTAGCGTATCGAAAATACTGGGATACACACACTACTTAATTTTAAGAGGTCCTTGTTTGTTCTGCTTCTAGTTTGAACTGTTTTAATGAATGTAAATTATCCGAATAAATCATCATGATTCCGAAACTACATAAAAATTCTTACAAACAAAGATACATATCGGATTCAGTAAACGTTCTACCAAGCCTCTTGTTTTACTTCTCACAAAGATATTAACAGTGGTAAAGGAGGAACTTGAAGAGTACCGTTCAACAATGTATTCGAGAAGTGGTGTAAATCAGATATGGATGTCAAAAATTCGAACGAACTTTTGGAACATTTGAAATCATAAATTCTTTCCAAAACCAACAAAATAAAAACTCATGACTTTTCGACTATATAAACTACGGCGCCGCTGGAGGGCCCGGTAAAAAAAATATTTTTATTTGTTCAGACAAATATTCGTTCGGATAAACAACTATTCCGGACAAATTAGAAATTCGTTCGGACGAATAAGAAATTTGTTTGGACAAATAAGTTATTTGTTCGGACAATTTAGATATTTGTTCCTTTTGGACGAATTAGTTATTTGTTCGGACGAAAATATTTTTTTACCTGGTCCTCCAGCGGCGCCGTACTGTCTATCTAATTTCCGAACAAATTAATTCGTCCGAAAATTTCTAATTTGTCCGAACAAATATCTAATTTGTCCGAACAAATAACTTATTTGTCCAAACAAATTTCTTATTCGTCCGAACGAATTTCTAATTTGTCCGAACAAATAAAAATATTTTTTTACCTGGCCCTCCAGCGGCGCCGTATAAATTGATTGTAAAATTTTGCAAAATTAATAATTCTCTGAGAAAATGTTTGTGTAAAAGTATCTTACAACATTCCTTTTGAAAGGTTTAGAATAATTTTCTATATAATGTTAATTAAAAAGTTATATAAAGAATTAACTTTGGTCTTAAGTCGTAAGTACTTTTGTAAAACGGGTCCCAGGCCTTTTGATATCATCGACAGCTGCTTTTTTTTTTTTTTTTTTTAAATGAAAATGGAACTCGTAAATTTACTTACCTTGTCATTGATCATTTGCAAAATTACTTTATTAAAAAATTTTGATTGTACACACAAAAACTTTGAAGTTGATATAAAAAAGATGCTCGAGTTTCTGATTGAGAATATCTATGTGTGAAGTGTTTGGAGACCAGATCTTACAACAATCTAATTCTCATGGGTACCAATTGCGCACCGTTATTAGCAGACTTATTTTTTATTCATATGTAGCAGAATGTCTTCAAAATCTTTTACTTGAAAAGAAGAAAATACTTGCTTTGGCCTTCAACTCGACATTCAGATATATCGACGACGTATTATCAATTAAAAATAGTTATATCCATTTTAATGTCGACACGATTTGAGCTTGAAATATAAGATACCACAGACTGACACAGAGTCTGGCAAATCTGTTTCATATTTGGATCTTTTACTAGAAAAAGACGTTATTAGTTTGCTTACAATAAAACTTTATGATAAACGTGATGACTTTAACTTTTCAATGGTCAAATTCCCTTACTTATGCAGCAACAAACCTTTGTCAACTGCATATCAAATTTATATATCTTAAAGTTAGTTGATTCGATACAGAAGAGCATGTTCTACGTATGAATATTTTCTAAACATATTGATGAAGCAAGAGTATCATCTTGCCGTTAGTTCTATGGTAAACACAACGATCTTATCAGTAAATATAAATTTTCATTAAGTCAGATATCGACTGAACTTGTTCATAATGGTTGTTGGGCCATTATTTACACACTGAGTTTTTTCACGAATGTGTCCTTTTTTCCCTAACATGACAATGGCGGATGTGAATAGTTGGCATGGGATAGTTACTACTCCATGCATCTGATCCCACCTCTGATGTTATGGAGGTCTGAGTTTGATCCGTTCCCATTTTGTAATATTAAATGAACTTTCGAGCTCAGATACTTTACGTTTTATCTGCATATTTCATTAAATGGACTTTGAAGTTGATGACTGTTTGTTTCCATATTTCATTTCATTAAAATATAATCCTTTGCAAATCAGTCATATTCTTAATTGATATTTCGATGTTTTAAGGTGCATATGCCAGTTAGTTCTCCCTCATATTTTACTTTTGTTTATTTTTCAGAGCCACCATCATAAGCAGCTATGGTAAACTTTATGTAGATAACGATAGTGAGGAGATTCGGTACGTGGCCATAACAAGCAATGACCAGGACGATTCAAAGGAGTGTCCAAAACTCAAAGCACTTCCACAAATTGCCGAAAATGAGGCTATATCATACCACAAGAGCAACATGTTTAAGTTATCTATTCTTTTTTATATTTTGTTTTTCATAACAAGGTATTTGATAACATGATTTGGACATTGTTCTAAAATACCTACTTTTCTCTGTATGAATTAATTCCTTTTTCGAAACGAATAATTAATACTTTACCTAAACATTTGTACATGTATCCAGTTCTTTTATATACCGGTATTTTAAAGAAAGATAACTTGCAGATGGATGCATTTCAAATCGGACCGATTGCTTTTGGGGCAATCAAAGGCTTTTGTCAGAGTGTTCAACTGGGTAATGCTGCTTTCCTGCGGCCAAATTAAATTTACGAGCGAAAAATATGTGAAGCCTCTTTGAGACAAATCAAATACCTTAAGTTAGATAAACGAAGCGTATTATAGTTCAACTTTCCGGATATGCTGCTTTCAAACGGGAACTTTGATTGCGCCGCCTATCGCCGTAATTGAGTTAAATCTTTAATATTTGTCCAATGAAAATAGCTGTAACATACGTAATCAATATGACGTTTGAAACAATATGTCGACCTCCATGCAATTTGATGTGGAATATATCCAAACAACTTCATACAGCTGTGGGCAGTGGGCACACCTCAAAAGTGGTAGAAAATATCGTTCTTCGTGGATTTTTAGTCAAGAGTTTGACACCACTTTCTACTTGTTGCCGAATCAATTATTATCAATGAGCCGTGGCATTTGATTGGCTTAAATTGATGCACCTAAAATGCGGAACACGGACATATGTGGTCCTTTCAATAATTCTTGAAAACATATATAATTAAAAGAAAAAAAATCAAATTAATTAATCCCTTGTTTTTTAAGCATATATCACGTCCTAACTTTCATCCCATGTAAATATTACTCTTATTTTGCATAAAACACGAACAGACTTTAATTCAACCGAAAATCGTCGATTAGTAAAAACCTTGCGTAGACTCGGACTTCGCATCCAATCAAATTCGTTTGCGCGAGTTCTAAAAATTTCAGCCAAATCTGCCAAGGGTTGTAGAGTAGGTATCGGATCGGAAACCCTTGGCTAGCGAAGATGTATAGTTGGGAATTTTCTAAACAAACGTCAATGACAATGCACTTTATTCCATGCTCATAGAATAAGTATTTCTTTAAAATACATTAAATGAAATACAAATGTTTTCCTGTCTTCGTCACACTCTATAATTAGAATTTGTTTACGGGATTAACTCTAATACAGGGGCACCTGATCTGATGTACGACTCCTCGCCGAGGAATTACCTACGCACAATTGTTGGACATTGCTGCATCAATGTTTATCAAGTAATAAGACCCCAGAATGATATATATATTAAATTACCATGTGATTTTTTTAAAAAACTTAAAAATATTATGTTTTCACATATAATTTTGATACGTATGGCACTAAATATCATTATCATATGTACATTATGTGCATTTATGTTGAGATAATAAATTATTGTTTTTTCGATTGATTGTGTCAAATTTTCCTTATAAAATGAATATAAAGAACAGTGTTCATTCAAACAATATAAATCAGGAGCAGTGAAAACAGAGACCTCTAAAACATCAAAGGTGGGATCGGGTGCCATGGAGAATTGAGCAACCCCTGTCGACCAGGCATACCTGTCGTGTGCCCCTTTTAATGATCGGTAAATGATGTAATCAATTCAATTTGTAACTTATGGCTTAACAATTATTATGAAAAACGCCAGTGAGTGTATGACTTAATGATAAATTGTACTTGCTGACAATTATCGTATCGACCATAGAACTTACGAAATGATGACTTTAAACGAGACTGCTGATATTCTTGTTTCATAAACTTGATAAAAGTTTACTTCGTTGAAGAAATTATATCTAGAGCAGGCTCTTGCGTATAGAATCAATTGTGAAATATCTTCCCCATATGTTGGTGATAATGGTATATTGCTGCATAAATAAAGGAATTTGATGATTGAAAAGTTTTAAGTCATCATGTTTGTCATTAAGGAGACTAGGGGTCAACAAATTAACCACCAGATATAACTTAATTTAAGGAGGCTATGGGTCAACAAATTAACCACCAGATGTAACTTAATTTTTGATATGTCAACAAATTAACCACCAGATATAACTTAACTTTTTTGATATGTCAACAAATTAACCACCAGATATAACTTAATTTTTTTTTATATGATATCATAAGCTGTCAACTATCATTTGGCGAAGAAAAATTTCATAAATTTTAGTTTTAAAATTTGATCATTTTTATATTTTTATATGGAGCTCTTCTTCTAAAGGAGAATCAAATAGTCTTAAGGGGGGACCTATGTCCGAAAAGTCTTTGTGTGAAATTTTCAAAATCTTGATATTTCTTTCCTGACCACTTGCTCTTAATTTTTAGATATTAAAAATAATACCTTTATATGCTTATTTTTACATAGGAGCACGTGCAAAAACAGTGTAAAATGCTAAAAATAGATTATTTTCAGACATTCCTGTTGAAAGGTACACCAAATATGCGTTAAAAAGAACCAAAAATGTAAAATCACATTCGAAATCAACATGTATTCAATTTATATGACTTGTATCTTTAAAATGAAGGCAAATTCATTGAAATTTATTTCGCATTAAAAATTATAAAGGCGCACAATGTAAGTATCACCCCGTTTTTATTGGTATTTTTCACAATTCCGATACATAACAGGTAATATCTTAAAAAGTCTTTGTGTGAAAATGTCGTAATTCATATTTTTTTGAAAGAAACGTACTATCTCTTTATTTTAACAAAGAAAAAAATATACCTTTATGATAAAATAAACAAGAAATATGACATTTTCTTTTATTTTGGTACTCTTGTGTATATACATTTTGACCTAAGAATTCTGCACTAAAATAAAGGTAAGTAAGCAATGACAAACAACTGAAAATAAAACTATTTTGCGAAAAACGAGTATTTTGTTTTGATTTAGAAACCATTCAAACAAATTAATTCTTTTCTTCTTCATTCTTATCATCCCTCCCCCATTTCCCCGAAAACCAACACCTGTTAGAACCTAGGAATGACTTTATCTAATAAAATCTACATGTACTACAAATCAGTAAGCAAATATACGTACAAGCACATTTCTGAATTCTTTCTTAGTTTTATCCAGAAAATATAATTAATGGTAAACATAAAATTAAACATACTTCCCTGATCGTGGGAAAACAAAGTGGAAAAAATAAATTAAATTTTACAGAAGAATTATTACTAAGTATGTATACTCGCTATATACAATATAATGACAAGAAAATGAGAGAGTGCAAACAAACAGCAAAACAGAATAAATAATAATTTTAAAAGGTATTTGCCTATCACTAAATAGCAAAGTATTCAGAATTTGATCAGGAGAAATAGTTTTTAATTCTAGTACACTCTGAAGATTTTCAAAAAGTATCATTCTCTGATTATTATAAGCAGGGCATCCTAAGAAAAAAAATGATAGTTATCCTCGTTCAGATATCCGCACTTAGTACAAGATGCTATTTCACTTAGATACTGATAATACAGGTGAGCATTTAAATTACTAGATTCATTTCTTAGTTGACAATGTAGAGTGTTTTCCTTGCGACAGCCATAACTAAAGATCTTGACATCCTTTATTTTATCTACAGTAGGTTTCTTGAGAACATTCTTAAATTTTGAATAAGATTCAATACATTTTGTTTCTAGTGGTAAATTGTTCCATAACTGAATAGTAGAAGGCAGAAAACTGTTGAAATATGAGACTTCCTTGCTTGAGGTATGACAAAATTAAAATTATTAATATTTCTAAGATTGTAACCATGATTTGGTGGCATAAAAGGTAGGGCCATTTTTTGTAAATAGAGAGGGGCTATACCATACACAGTTCTATAGAATAACAAAAGTTATTGTCTTTCCCTTCTCTTATTTAATGGTTCCTAACCTAATTCTAAATACAGAACATTTCTAGATGAGTTTTTCCTAAGTCCTGTTATTTTATTCGGGCAGCTTCTACTTGAATATTTTCTGAAAGATTTGAAAGTTCTTGTGAGCAATTATCCCAAACAATGCTGCCATATTCTAGAACATTAACAAATATTACAAAGAACAAGTTATATCGGGTAACTTTAATCAAGATCTTACATAAAATACTTATAATTCTTTCTCGTAATGGAGACTTGACAAAATATTTTGGTAGACACGAAGTTTCTTTACATTTTATTAGTTTAAAAGCTGAATGAATGATCAAATACTACGTATCGTAAAGTTGTACTTTCTAACAAAAAAAAAATTCATTGAAATTTGTTTTCTTTGAAATACGGCTAATTCATTTAGAAAACATGTAATATTTTAAATGGTAACTTTTGACATCTCAAGTAATAAAAGTGTATACATTATAGCGTCAAACCATGAAATTAAATTTACTAATCATATATCTTAATAGGCACCAAAATCTTTTTACTTCTTTGAAGTTCTCACCCGTGTAATTTACGGCACGGTGAAATTCAAATACTTATAACTTACTGGTTAAATATAATTGGCTATTTGTGCACGTGTCTGTAATGACGGTATTAAATATTTGAACTATCTATAAAACTAGAGTTTTGAAGAGAGAACAATGAAACAGAGACTCCAGATTTTACAATGAAACCATCTTAGCAGGAATCAATCTGTGCGATCTTTTTCTATTAACAGGTATACTTAGACTATTTTTTTTTAAAATTTAGATGTGAGTTCAAGTTTTGTTGTTTAAATACATTATCCCGTAAGTCCTATGGTCGATGCAATGACCTTGTCAGCAAATACAATTTATCATGGAGTCAAATGCTTACTGGCGTTGTTAGACCATAATTTAAAAACTGAATTGTCAACGGATTTTTTTTTTTGTTATTTCCCGACCACGAGAAGGAGCACACATGTACAGCGGGTGTGACCGGTTGTGAGCGGATATTAATTCCTTCATGGCAACTTATTCCACCTCTAATTTTTCTTTGGAGACATGTGTTTGCTTTGCTTTAAAATTTGTACAGTTTAATTTTTGAGATTGAATTATTTTGTTACATCCGTTTATTTAATATACTTAATTACAAATGTTTTTGTTACAATAGTCAGTACAAAAAAATTAACGGGAGTTCAAATGCACAGTATTAGAGGTGTTACATCGTCTGATTATCCGTTCATTGTTTGGCGTAATCCTCCACAGAATTCAGAATATTTTTTGAAATTATGAAGTTGAAAGTTCGCAGTTCCCTAAATTAGGCCATTTTGATATATAAATGTCAGTGATTTAAGGTTCTATATTATGAACTATTTTCACATAGTAAGTAATGATAGGTAACAGGACTAATGCTGTTTTTTGTTATATAAAAACTTCGACTGTCACAAGAGATATGTTAGGTTTACTTTGTCAAATTAGTTTGCAGACCCAAACCTTGGACTGCAAATTTATAATTTATCACCATATTCTTGTGATGAGGTAATATTTTTTTTAAAAAGCTGTAGTTTGATGAATAACAAGATCACATTGGAAGTGTTAGATATTTAATCACTGTGGATTTTTTTCTTTGGCAATTAAAAAGTTTGACAGCAATAGTCCATTAATATTGGTAAGAAATAGAAGACATGGACTTCAGCTTGAAGCATATTAGAATAGTGAACCCTTTTGTGATTAAGAATATTACTAATATTTGTAGACGATTTGAAGGAACAAACCAGGTCAAGAGAATTGACTGACATTGGATTGAATTGAACTTAAAAAAAATACATCTCCTATTAAAATAATGACCATTTGGCTCCCAATTTCTTTATTTGAAATAAATGTATGTCTTTAAAGAAAATATAAGTTCAAAACGATAATGGCTATATCAGAATGTTGACGTGTGATATTTTCTTACACTACCAATCTAGACATAAATCTTGTTTACATTTTAATGTGAGTCTTCATTTTCTATGGTAAATGGTATAGTCGTATCGTTTTGAAAAAAAGAGCCTCTTAACTTTTTTTTACGTTAAGAAGTTGAAACATTTTCATTGAAAGTCGACACAATACTTCAGAAACATATTCAAAATGGTAACTTTTGACAAACCAAGTGATAAAAAGTGTATAAATTTTAGTGTTAAATAATTGGTTTAAATTTGCTAATCATATATTTTAATTGGCACCAAAAGCTTCTTATTTCATTTCAAAGCACACCCGTATAATTTAAGGTATGATGAAATTTAAAAAAAATCACTTACTGGTAAAAAAGGTAAAAAAAAAAAAAATAATTGGGTATATAGGCAAGTATCTGCAATGTAAGCTTAAACATTTCGACTTATCTTTTTATTGAGATTTGAAGAGCAGTGAATAAAAAAAATAGTTTGACAGGGATTATCCTGTGAAATCGATGAGGTTTTTTTTTTTATTTCATTAAAACAGGTACGTGGTTTTCTTTTGTATTTAGATTTGACGTTTATTTTGTTACAAATGCCTTTGTAAATTTAAGCAATGCAAAAACAGAATCAATGGAAGTTGATCACATGTACACTACTAAAAGTCACTGTAAAATTGTTTCATCCGTCTTCACCAAACTTCCAAATCTCGACTTAACTTCTTAATAGATGATATTTATAGATGATGTTTTGGAGGTCCGTGTTTGCTCTACTTGTATTTTGTATTGTTTTATGGACTTTTGATCTTGAATACTGTTCGTTATCTCCATATATTTCATGCATTTTATGTCTATTACATTAGTAAGTGGAAAAACCTAATTATTTAATTTAAACAATAAATAACAAGCTAATTCAGAGAATTCGTGTCCCCCGCTTAGGGAAAAAGTCGGCTCCCCCTGACTGAATTTGTAGAATTATTAAATGTATACATGTATACTGAAGGAAATAAAATACATGTATGTCAATATGCATATAAAGATTTGATTGCTTATTCTTTATTATGTGTATAGAAGATTTTTTTATATGGAATATTTATCACACTGTAATGATTTTATAACCTCAAAAATTTTTCATTTCACATGCTGAATACTATCATTTAGTAAAAAAAAAAGTATTTAAAAAAAAAGAAAAAAAAAAAGGTTCGACCGAGATTCGATCCCGGGACCTCTCACACTAGAAGCCAGAGACATACCACTAGACCACGGCGTCGCTTTTCACAATTGAAGTATATGCAGAACTGAAGTCACATACATGTATATATTCATGTTTTCATGTTGGGTATTCTCAAAATTTTACACAATCCATGGTGTTTGATTTATTTAGCCTTTATTAAACAGTTATAATAGATGTAATAAGAACATAAAGTCCGCCGAGAACCTGTTTTATACGCAATAACTCTCCTCATGCCCCTGCGCTAAAAATAGCGACATGTAATACTATAAATACTAATAAAACAAACGGGGCGGGGCACCTTGAGAGGGGCGAGAGACGTCCTAGGGAGTTTTGTATAAAATTACATTGCATAAGCTCAAAATCTTCTTGAAATATCGCCCGGAAATGATAGTATTACACACAGACAGAATGTATAAATTTACGACCTTGAACTTTGACCTTTTGACCTCAAAATCAATAGGGGTCTTCTTTAGGCCACAGGGAGTTGTTATGTAAAATTTCATTGCGATAGCTCAAATGGTTCTAGAGATATCGTGTGGAAACGAAAGTGTTTTAACAGACAGAATTTGCTTATTTATGACCTTGACCTTTGACCTTTTGACCTCAAAATCAATAGGGGTCTTCTTTAGTCCATAGGGAGTTGCTATGCTAAATTTCATTGCAAAAGCTCAAAGGGTTCTCGAGATATCGTGTGGAAACGAAAGCGTTACAGACAGACAGAAAGACGGACGGACGGACGGACAAACCCAAATTAATATCCCCCACTTTTCAAGCGGGGGACAAAAAAAACCTACTGACACATGAAGATACTGGCAAATATTTATTGATCTATTCAACATTTACTAAATTATATATCATAGAAACACAGTAAAAATAATAAATATTTTCTTTTCGTCTTGAATGATTTCTTTACATCTTAAAGGATATACAAATGTTATAAACAAAGAATTTTACAGATATACTTAATCATAATACTCTCTGGTTAGCTACCCACTGGTTATAAGTGATATTGATAATTTAGGCCTTGATTCATTTTCGATGCCAAATTCTTTTCAAAATCGACATGCATGTTGTTGAGGAATCACAAGCATGCTGATGAAGGTAAACATTTAATATGACAATAAAGAGTGGGCTGTTTGCCAGTCATGTGAGATTTGTGAAATGTTATGGTTCCGGTCGACTTCAGGCCTAAACTTAAAGTAGCAGACCAGATATGGCGAGAATAATTCCCATAAATAATCCGAAAATCTAATGTCATTAGGAATATATCATTAACGTGTTTATAAAATCGGACTATGCTTTGGAAGAAAGGAACTCTATATAAGATTTTAAATTTGAGTAAACAGGATGAAATCAACAAAAAATGAAGGTAAGTTCTTCCGCATTTTCCTTCGAAAATTTCTCACAGTGATTAAGTCATTCAATTTATGAATGCTTGTAAATCGTGTTTGTATTCCAAGGTTCCAAATAAAATTTACGGTCTGCTAAAGATCCCGAGTAACCTTAATGAAATACCTTTAGCTGTGAGGAAGATAGCATCAGTTTTAATACGGAACATCAAGATAAAACCTTCTCTTTTCTCTTTAATGAATACGATGCTTATACGGGAGGCTTTCTGTATTGTATATGGAGATCATAACGTCTCCCCCCGTTCTCTCTTTCTTGTATCTAGTGTGGAATAGAGGAGTCAAGACGGATCATCGCCTTGTATGACATTGTGTGTGTGGTTAACGCTTAGAACTGATAAAGATCTACAAGCTTCATTAACATATTTTTTGAATTTTCAATTTGAGAAATTTGATAAAATAGAAATAAAGATGAGGCGTCTATATATAAATGGCAATCGAGAGCGTGGACAGGCATATGTTTCTGTATCGCATACGGCCAGTCTCTCATTGTAATGTACTCAAAGTGTTCATAATTTAATTGGTGCATAGAGTTAAGACACATTTAGTTAACATGGAAATATACCTTACAATAACTAGTGGTGAGTTTTATCATTTGTTTTCTTTGTTTTAACTACTTAGTAACCCTATTGTCCGAAAAACAGAACCAGCCAAATTTTATAAAAGACATTTTTAATAAAACATGCCTTATTTAATCATAATTTTTTTCTTTATAACTTTTAATGATTATGTATTTCATAAGAAAAGTGTTGTTATACGATAATGCATAGAATATGTTAATTTACTCTTTCAAAGGCAATTGATGAAACATTTTCTAGCGCTTATATAAATAAAACTCAAATGTACTATTGCAAAGAAAATTTGACTTTCTGTGGATGAGTTGGGACGGGGTTACAATTATAAGAAACCAGGTCAAAGGTCTGTAACATGTTCTGGTTATAAATTTAGGATATTTAACAATTTATTCTGATTTTTGATAGTGTGATAGATAGCAAAGTTTGTTCTTAAACGAGTAGATCTGATAAAATTTACCTTTATAAAATTTACAATAAATCTTTATTAAATTCCTCGGAAAGGGTTTAACAAAAATATATAATATGGGTAACCGACAAAAATTGTTAGACGTAATTCCTTGTGTTTGCCCAAAAATAATTTATGCTCATAAATTGCCTGAAATATTTGTTCGAGGTGTTACACGACTGTTATAATTAATCTAAAGTTTTTAAAAACAATTCTTTCATTTATAAAAGTATTGTGAATCATCAATTTCCATAGATCAATTATCTTCACAGAATCACTATTAATAAGAAAAAATTCTAATTTTCATGTTATATTAAATATATTAAATCTCAGGAACCAGATCCACTTCTGACATTTCTGTGTTTATACCCTGTTCACAGATGATTTTTATGTGGATATTTTATATAGATCGATCACAAATTATTTTATCCTTTCCCCTTATCATATTTTGTATATTTCTGCAATTCTTTAAAATTTTGAAAGAAGATGGGGGGATAAGGCGGGCAGAATGCCTATAGCGCGACAGATAAGAAGTGAAAAATTTAATCTCAATTATATCCTTAGTTTATTTCATATTTCATCTAATATTCAAGTATACTTAATGTAAAATCTCTAAAATTTACAAAAATCTCACAAAGACTGAAAATATTTGCCTATGAAAAAGCATACACAGACTTAAAAGAACAAAAACGATCATTTTTTCATATTTAACAAAAAATTTCAATATGAGTGGGTCTTCGCTCCATTTTTTGAAAGATAATCCTAAAAGTTTGCGATAAAATAAATATTTTTGGTGTACAAAAAATGGAGCGAAGACCCACTATACCTTAAAAGTACACTTTTATGACAAAACAATCCCATCTTTCCGAGAAAAACTTCAAGTCCATAAAGTAAAAGGTCGTATCACAAACATGATTTAAATGCCCCTAATCATCATGAGCCATGTTGCATAGTGGTCAGCGCGTTAGTCTCAAAGCAGTATAATACTTCGGTATTTTATTGCTGGGGCTCGAATCCCACGTATACCATCTAATATTTTTATAAATAATTTTTTTCAAAGAGATTTATTTTCTCTCAGAAAATTTTTTTCTCGTAATTTCCTAAATTTCAATATTAAGAGGTAAATTTAGATACTCAATTTACACATTAAATGTGATTTCTTAATATCTGACGCTATTAGGCATTCTGCCCGCCTTATTTCCCATCTTCTTTTTTTTAAAAAAAAGGTACTAAGTGACTTAAATGACTTAAATTTTATTTATAGTCATCTGCAATTACATTTGAATCGTAAAACCTTTTTCTATTATCCAGATAATACGTGCAGTACGCGATTTCCACGTATATAGAGAATGAAAAAACTATCTTGACAAAAACTATTGATATCATTTCAGGGAATAAAAGATAGGGGAATATACGATACTAGTATGGTGGACAGTGCAATCTGGTTCGTGGTTTGGTCAATTGTAGGTATCTTTTGTTTTTTGAAATGTTACGTCAGTATATAGGTATTGTTTTGTTATATTCTAACATGAAAGGGAAAGTATTAAAAGTAATCACTTATAGTCAGTCAAATGATTTTCTTGTAATTTTTCTCACGCTTATCTGAATGTTAAAAAATTTTATAACATGATTCAGTTTTTTTACATTGTGACACATGCAGATATGTCACCCGATGTATACATTTTGAACATTAGGATTTTTCACTCTGAAGCAAAATTAGTCCCTATTAGTCATTTGAATGAATAATGAGTTTCTGAAAAAAATATTTATATTTAAATCATTATTGTACAGGACGACAATAATGTAATTTTGATTCATTTGAAGCTTATAAAAAGTTCTTTCATCGCAAATATGAACAACAGAAGTTTATTAATGTTATTTTTTTCTGTCATTGAAATAGTTATTTATAATTTTGCAACTAAAAATTCCAACATCAAAGTTGCAGCTCATATTGCTTTAAATAACTTAAATACATTTGAGCCATTGTACCATGCATCTTTCTTGATTTTTCCACATTGTTAAAGTTCTAACAAGGCACGGAAAGCGGAGTTTTATTGGACATTTAACTTTCATATCAATTTCTTTTTGGTCCAGAAACATTTTTTTTTCACCCAGAAGGTCGAATGGTTGTCAACATATTTTTTTAAATAAAGATTTTTAATACTTCTAGAATGTTGGATTTCAGGCAGTCGGAGAACAAAGAATAATTCAATCGTATAATATACTAAGGAATAATTTACATTCAGATATGTTTACTACATCACCATTAAGGTTTACTACTTGTATTTTTATGTACAAGAGACAAATGTAACTACAGAAACATTTGAATAACATTAATTAAAACAAAAATACTTTTAAGAAAAAAGCATAAGACCTGGATACATTTTTAAAACTAGAATTCTACGACCACGTTTCTCTGTTTGTTTGTATGTATGTTTGTTTTGATTTCTGTGTAACAGTTTCTTGGAAAACTGATATTGATAGTTTTGAAAACTATAAAAATAAAAGATGATATAAATCTAGTTAAACGATTGCTTAACGAATAAAAATTTACATAATTATATCTTAAGGAATGACAACGTAGGTGTATTAACTGGTAAAATGCCAGAAAACTCTGTGAATTCTAAAACCGTTTGAGTTGCATCACATAATAATTATTTTGATTCAATTTTTGCAGGTTATTTGTAACGTGAGATCAGAGAAAGGTAGGCTAATTTTTATGTAATCCTTATGTCAATCCTTAAATTGAATTTAAAACATTCACTATGTTGGAAAATGGACCACACATACAACTCTTTGACGGAATCCATGATCCATCATTTCCCAATACTAGTATTATATTATTTGAAAGTTTTTTTTTTCTATGGCACAGAAGTGGTTAACCATGTATATATACTGGCCCAGAAATATAATGGTAACTAGGGTGGCCAACTTCAGTCTATGTAGATAAACATTCTTAAGTGACATGAAGGTGTGTGTTCTCCTTCAGACACTTGGCTTTCTTTGGTTGATCTTGGTCCATCACACTTTGATATTCGTTCATACGAAAAAATAGAATTAATTAAAAAACAAACTTAATGAAGGATATGGAGATAACGAACAGTATTCAATATAAAAGTCCATAAAACAATACAAAATAGGAGCAGAGCAAAGAAGGACCTCCAAAACATCAGAGGTGGGATCAATGGAGGAGTAAGCATCCCCTGCCGACCGGTCACACCCGCTCCTTGTCATGATCGGGAAATAACGGAAAAATCCGTCGTCAATTCAGTATATAAATAATGGACTTACAATTAGTATCAAAAACATCAGTCAGCATTTGACTCAATGATAAATTGTATTTACTGACAAGGTCATTGTATCGACCATAGATCTTACGAAATAATGACTTTAAATGAGACAGCTGATATTCTTGTTTCAACTTGTTTGTCAATAATTTACCTCGTTGTAGAAATTGTTCATATGTAGAGCATGCTCTAGCATATCGAATCAACTGAGATATGTAAACTCCATATGCAGGTGATGAAGGTATATTGCTGCATAAGTAAGGGAAGTTGACGATAGAAAAGTAAAATTCATCATGTTTTTCATAGAGCTTGGTTGTTAGATTACCATTAACGTCTTTTTCAAGTAAAATATCGAAGTATGAAAGACCTAGATGTGTCAGACTCTGTGGGATCTTTTATCTCAAGCTCACCAGCATATATCGTATCGACATATAAGAATGGAAATTACCATCGTTAATTGACAATACTCGTCGATATATCTAAATGTTGAGTTGAAGACCATGACAAGTGTTTTCTTCTTTTCACGCATAAGGTTTTGCACAAATTCTGCTTTATATGAATACAAAAATAGGTCTGCTAATATAACACGTAAGCCTTACGAAAACGTATTTTAATAATGGTAACTTTACCAAGGATATTATCGTTTTACAAACAGCGTGACAGTTGGTTTGATGGGGCGTGCTAAAATTGTGTATGCTGATTTTCATTTTACTCATCGATTGGCTGCTTTATTTCAATGGAATCAATACTAACTTGCATATGAAACTCAGAATACAACATTATCCTGAGAATATTGGCCAATCACATTGAATGATTGAGTGCGTCATTGTACTCACCAGCAACACGTGGTCTGTCAAAGCCCGTTCTCTGTCCTAAAAAAAATCACGAATTATATTTGTTATGATTTGACCGGATGGTTTTAAATACGTATAAGAAAATTCAAAAAATAGAATTAGAAAGGCTACTCTGCTACTGTTCTATGTAGCTATCAATATCATCATTACAGGTTGTAAAACTTGCTTTGTCCGTCCACGTGTAACTTTTATTTACTGTATGCTAGTAAACATGTGATTAAATACGATTGGTCATTTTTGTCAGTGGTATTGTTGGGTTCTTTGTTTCATATGTAAAATATTTATTTATTGATTCCAATGAAATCAAACATCCAATCGATGAGTAAAATGATAATCAGCATACAAAAAGTTTAGCACGCCCTATAAAGCAAACTGTCACGCTGTTTGTTAAACGATAATAAACCAAGTGATCACTTGTTTCCTACATTAATAGGATACATTTCTTTTAGCTCAAAATAAAATAAATTTTTCTCGGCTAAGGTTTATTGCGGCCGAGGTTTGAAACTACAGCGTATACTTAATAGAATGCTCTAAGTACGGAACCGGTCACGGTAGCCTAGTGGTAGAGCGTTCGCTTCGTGATCGGGAGGCCCGGATTCGATTCTCGTTCGCGGCGCCGCGTCATACCTAAGACGTATTATCGTTTTACTAACAGCGTGACAGTTTGCTTGATAGGGCGTGCTAAAATTTCGCATGCTGATTATCATTTTACTCATCGACTGGATGTTTGATTTCAATGGAATCAATAATACTTTACATATGAAACACAGAACCCAGCAATACCATTGACAATACTGACCAATCGCAGTGAATAAACAACAATTACATGTGAACGGACAAAGCAAGTTTTACCTCCTATAATGACGATAGCTACATAGTACAACAGTAGCAGAGTAGCCTCACTAATTCCATTCTTTTTAAATTTTCTTATGCATGTTATACGTATTTAAAAACCAATCCGGTCAAATCACAACAGATATAATACATGTTTTTAGGACAGAAAACGAGCTTTTACTGACCATGTGTTGCTCCTGACTACAAATGCCGTACTGGGAAACAATCATTCAATGTGATTGGCCAGTATTATCGGGGTATTATTGTATTCCGAGTTTCATATACAAATTAATATTTATTTTGTTGATCCAATCGAGGAGTAAAATGATAACCAGCACACAAAATCTAAGCACGCCCCAACAAGCAAACTGTCACGTTCTTTGTAAAATGATAATAAACAAAAGTAGTGACTGTGCCTTCGCCAAGCGCTCGGCACTAGAAGTGAAAGTCACAGGTCTTTCGGATATGACCTTAAAAACGTAGGCCCCGGTCACGGTTGGCGCTGGCACGATAAAGAACCCTCACTACTCAATGGCCCTGAGTGCCGAGTATAGGTCAAAATTTGAAGCCTTTCACCGGCATACGGTGACGTCTCCATATGAGTGAAAAATTCTCGAGAGGAACCTTAAACTATATACAATCAATCAATCTAAGTACGGAAAATTCCTGAAACGAGGCAAGATGTTGACGATTAAGTTGATGAAACAAATGTATCAACAGTCTCGTGAAAAGTCAATATTTTGCATAATAATTGGTAGTCTATGGTCGATTGTTAATGCAATCTATTATTAAGTCGAATGTGAACTGAAGTTTTTCCATACAAATTGTTATCCCTTTATTTTTACCTCAATTGTCTATGGATTTTCCCAATATGTCAAGGATCACACTGCGAATGTGACTGCAGGGTGCCTTCTTGTACATGGTACGTGATCTCATCTTGGATGCTTTTAGAGATTTGTGTTTGCTCTGCTCCAAACTTTTATAGGCTAGGTTAAATGGTCTATTGAGCCTGAATACTGTTCGTTATTGCATTTACATATATTCACTGAAGAGAATCCTCCCATTACTAATGTATACTAGCAATCGCATTCTTCGCAAGATAAATGATTTCAAATGGGCAGCAAGCCATCTACAAATATTGGCAAAAAGCATTTTCCTCAAATGCCGTGATCAGACCCCAGGGGTGGTTTAGATATCATTTTGAAATGTATTCACAACGTACCCAATCTGTTTTACGCCTAAACATTTAGTACACATGCTGCCTACAGAGTACTTGCTCGCAAAGTTGTAGATTTTTAATATACGGTCTAAGATTTCCAGCACAAGACGGGGTAAGTCTCTTCTGGACATTTTTGAAATTGAATTTTAAATTGAAGTTTGTGTAACTCTTCAGCTACAGTAACATGCTCATTAAGCGGAAACAACAACCAGAATCTGAAGATGTCGTTAAGTATAGTTAAGGAAAATGACATCATGTCTCTGATATCTGTATACACGGCGCGGGAGAACGACCCAACCTTAAGTAGTCCAATCAGTGACGTAGGTTGTCAGATGACCGGAAATGGTGAACTGGCCACGCCCTTCTTCATGTCAGTGACTTTTGACGCCACCTCAGACAGATATCCGTGTGGAATTGTAGTTGTAAGTTTTAACGATTATATTCTATAAAATTAAACTACCAAAAAGAAAAACAATGAATAAAGTAGTATGTGCATATATATATCTACATGTATTATCAACGGCAATAGATGTTTAAAGAACCTTCATGCATTCAAAAGTCTAACTGATATTTGCTATGTATTTCTGTCGAGTATCCAACAGTGAGTATATATTGTGAATTCATCCCGCCCAGAAACCAGAATCTAGCTATTTTCACAACACACCAAGTAATTCAACAACGTCCAAAACACAAACTTATGATATTTCTAAAAAATACACAGTAGAAAGATGATTTATAGACAGGAAATTTGAAAAGATGAAACAGGAAAATTTAGTGATCAGAACCTATTTTCTCGGGTAATTGGCGTCTTTATAATTTTATTTTGAATCTTGAAGTCGGGGCTTTTACTTTTAAAAGTACTGGATTATTCGACCCATTACTCTCACAAACATGCTTTAATTTGAGAATCAATAAAAAAAAAACCCTTTCAAAAAGGATTGCAGATGCCTCTATCAAAACACAATAAAAAGGGGATTATGCATTTTGTCTGGAACCAAATACATGTACATGTTGCGATCAACGATCAAACGGAGCTTTAGAGATATTCAAGACTGTGTCAACCATGAAAATAGTTTCACCAATGCTGGTAATTTATAAGATACTTCAATCGATGCTAAAAAGGAATTTAAACGATACATTAATTCTTTTAAAAGCTGTGAATATAGATTGATTTAAATGACACAAAAAGCTGTCTGAAAGCAGTGTTAAAAGATAGGCTGTATACTATATGTACTTTCTTAAAAATCCAAGTTAAACGCTACCGATATTATTTCATAACATAAAAATTATGTCCCAGATTTTCATGATAAATAGAACATTTTATCAATCACTTTCAAAACAGAGTTAACTAAATAAAATTTGATTTGTATTTTTGTAAATAACGGTATCTTTCTCTTTTAAAACTTTAAGAGCCAGTTCTTGCAAATATTTTTAATGAAAATTAAGATTCCAGAGTTATATCGTAACCATAAAGTTTGAGGTAAAAAATAAATTATAGTGTGTTCCAAGAGAACTTTAATCGTTATATAAATATACATGTGATAGATCTGCTGGTAGTCAAACCGATGTTGTTCTGCCAAGGTGAGTTTGGAATTATTATTATATGTATGTATGATACCAAGAAATTACGAAAGCATCATCAGATTAACAATAGAGCTCAAATATTTTTCAGACCAATATTAATGAGTACAGACTTCGAGTGCGATCATTCGAGCACCCGGGGGTAAAATCGACAAATGATGCTTTCTTTGATGCTGTATGTGATAGATCTGCTGGTAGTCAAACCAATGTTGTTCTGCCGAGGTGAGTTTGGAATTATTATTATTTGATAAGTACGTGCAATCAGTCCACATTGAAGGCCAAGGAAACAATTACTAGTAAAACTTTGTCATACTGTCGTCAAATACTCGTCAGCTCTGCTAATTGTACTTACTTTGAACATTATAATAAAAGTAAAAAAGTAAACAATTTTAGTGTATAAATATCCCATCATAAAAAGTAGGGAAAAGTTATAACCCATTCAATCATCAATGTTTCAAATTGTAATTTCAGGCCTGCATTTTTGCCCGCAGAAAAAGATTTATTAAGATTTGAACTGTTCAATGATAAGAACCAGCCAGTCACCATAGTTAATCTTGGAGACAGCGTTCACTTCAAGGCGGAATACTACTACAACAATGAGTATCGTGAGTATTCTAGGACAAGTCTGGCTAGTTTTCGTAGATTCCTTGTCAAGCAAATCACATAAAATATCGTTCTTTTTAAGGTGTGGGAACTTGTGGCTACGATTTTTGGTTTGCTCTTCCTCAAGACTCCAACCCCGATACTACGTTCACACACTATCTGATACTTAGTCATCGTCAAAAACAACTTGTAAATACAACACTGTTATATTCTGATGGCAGCGAAGAGTTAATGAACTTTGTTGAAGACTTTGGCTTTAAAGCAGCAATACTGAGTTTAGAACCACATAGGGGTTCAGAACGAGTGACCAATAAATCTATCCATATAATATCCACTCATCAAGTCTGTATCTACTCATTTAATTATCTATCCTCTCAGAGTTCAACACTTTTCTCCCTATTTCCAACAAGTTCTTTGGGAAGAGACTACGTCATAAATAAACTGTTTAAGGATAATACAGTTGTGATTCTCGCTACGGACAGCAACACTGATATATCACTAGAAGGTGACGTCGCTAAGATTGACAAGCCGTCCTCTCTGAGCTCGCTTGAGCCGTTTGAATCCCTGCAGGTACTCGCCAAAGACACTGTAACAAAGCTAAGAATCGTCTCCACAAAACCTATAGCTGTCTTTGTGGGATCCAAAAGTACCACGGATAGCATTGACGGGTACGCAGAACAAATATCAGACACTACAAAGATGGGAAATAAATTTGTGTTCCCTCCTACTTCTGGGGAAATTGTCTGTACCTCTTTGACTCCAAGTACTGTGATAAATTATGTTTGCAATGACGGTTCCACAGTAGAAAATACTATATCGCAGTATGAAAGTGCGACATTTACTTCGTCCAGTGCGCACCACTGTTTAGTAGAATCCAGTGCGCCACTTTCGTGTGGACAATATTTTAAGACAGCATCAGCGGGTACCGTGAAGGGATATACCTCCATGATACCTTTCTCTCAGTGGTCTACACATTATAGCTTCGGAACATTTGTTAATAAAGAGTACGACATTCTGATTGTGATTGAAGATGGTTTTCAACATGATTTGGAAATATTTGGATACCTTGCTGGAGTGGTAAATGGATCCACATTGTCGTGGTCAAGTGTTCTCCGACATTCAGGTAAGAGAGAGAGAGAGAGAGAGAGAGAGAGAGAGAGAGAGAGAGAGAGACAAAAAATTTGCATCAGATTATGCAGAAATTCTATGGCTTGTATACACATGGAGCCGTTACAACTGGATAAAATCAATTACATTCTAAATATATTCAAATGTCTCTAATCTATGCTATCAGTTATGTTTCACCGAGGTGATAGTGCTTTTGATAGTGTTGATAAAGTAGAGAGATGAGGACACAAACTTTTAATAGATTCTTCAACAATGTCAAAATGGCGCCAAGACAATGTACAATGTAGGGTAGTTAAGTACTGTCGTGGATAGAGAAAAGGGCATTCGGGTGCCTTGTCTGTAGGGTGATGGGAAAATCCACACAACAATGAAAGGCCGAGGTTAAACAGTGCTTCAACAGAACTAAACCAGTAAGGTCTAATATTGATAGGACTATTTCCAGCTAGAAGTTCAAAAATTACACGTATGATGGGTTAAAAAAGTCGTTCAGAACATAAATATGCTAATCACGTTTTAGAGTACAGTTGAACTATAGAAGGAAAAATGCTGAATGATGTGAAAATGTTTTCATTTGTAATTGTCATTTACAAAAAAGCGCAATATTTCATCTTAGAAAACTACTAGTATATCGGGCTCTTAAATTCCGGAAGTAAAAACTGAGTTTTGTACTTTTAACAAAATAATAAGCTGTTTCTTTTCAAAAATCATTTTAGAAATAAAATTTGATTTGAGAAACGACATTAAATAAGATTTAACAATGAAACCCTTATATCATGCGCTTTATTTCACACAAGATTTCTTTTGCTGTCTAATAGAATATTAAAATTTAGATAATTTTCACGTTACTCTCATTTGATTTTGATTTCAATGTGTTTCTACAGGAAAAACTTACATGGGACTCACTTTTCCTATTAAGAAAATGTTTGGACCACGAATACAGGTTTCTCACCCCAGTAAATCATTCCTGGTTCTTCTAAGGGACAATCGTGAGATCTCCGTCACCATACCCCCCAAAACATTCATGGACAATGTGTCGGTAATATATCACTGGATTTTCTTCACTCACATAACATTTTAAGAAATTTTACTTGTACACTCCGCAATATTTCAGTCAATGTATTCTCTTGCTCTCATTAATTGTTAAAAAGTTAAAAAAAAAATAGATAACACGAATTACTCTTCCAAAAACGACAACAATTACAGGACATACAATCGTAGACTGCAGATTCCTTTCCTCTTCTGGTTCTTTTTTACTTTAATAAAATCATTTTGTTTGATCTGTCAGAGCTGCAGTAATACGCTGGGCTTCAGCGGAGACCGTGTTGATAGTGACTGTGACGGAAGTGTAGATGAAGACACAGCTTTGACGTCAGGTAAAGAAGTACTACAAATACTCACAGTACTTTGATTTTTTTTCCACATTCAATTTAGAGGCACTTGTAACGACAGAGTTATTTTGCAGGGTCCAAGACGTACGACTTAAAGGCTTATCCAGAAGGTAATCATATGAGACAAATTCCTTTGATAAGAATCTGAATTTTTCTTTACAATTCAAGACTTTGTAATATGTATTAATAAAAATACACGTGCATTAATTTTTTACAGGTACAAAGGCTGCAGGGGAAATTCGTTTCACGAACTGCATTGCTAAATCCAATGCTTTTTGGAATGATGGTGGACCCACGTTTATCTTTATTGACCAGAATGGGTAAGGCTTTTTACCAAGAGCTGATGACTTAATTCTTAAGTTCATTAATGAGTCTTACGATTATACTGTCCATCTCCTTTGTCAGATGCATGGTGGGGTCAGAAAGCAATATTTTCCCCATAAACTCAACATTTTCTGAAGTGACTACAAGTAAGTTGGATTATCCAAGACTATTTTCATCTGGATACTTGGAGAGCGCACGATTTTCCGGAAGTAGTGATGTTTACTTCCGGTGTCAGGTCCTTCTCTGTTACGACTACTCCGGGGAATGTTTTAAGGTATGTTTTATGCAATCTACATGTAGTTTCTACAAGAATTATGAAGTCACTGTTTCCGCGTTTCTTTTCAATTAACGAAAACATTTGCATATCATTTTTATGAAACAAATCAAGGTTAAACAAGTGTTTTCCCGATTATAGGATGCCTGTAAAGTTGGCGCCGGGTATATTGGGGATAAACACGACAGAATGTATGTTGATCTCAAGGTCAAAGTTTTATACAGCACTGAAAAACCACTCCACAGTAGACGGAAGGGTAAGTCGATACAAAGTCTAAATAAAATAAGCCAATGAATCTTTATATTGAAACTCTAGAACAGTATATACTCATTTGACCTTTTATCCTCGATCTCTGGTAAAAATGTAAGATAGGAACGTATTTTGATGTTTAAGATTTACGAAAGTTTTAATCTTAAAGTCTCTGATTTTACCTTCATCAGTACTTGTAAAAATTCGAATTTTGCCAGTATCAAAATTTAGCTTAAAAAACCCGAAAGTATCCTTCTTTTTTAGCTACAGATAGCAGTAGTTCGGAGTCCAGCCTGGATACGTTTGTGATAATCTGTATCTCTTCCTTCATCCCTCTTATATTGTCCCTGACTGTCACGCTGGTGCTCTACCGGAAACTGACTTTTCTGATAGAGGAGACAATGACACCACCGGCCATATTCAAACAGGAAGCCAATAACCTCAACAGGCTGTGAACAGAAGTCGGCGTCCGTCCTCGGCCAGCGATAGGAGACTCTACACCCCAACACCGTCAGAGAAAGAGAAGTAAACCGAGTTAGCCCACTCAGGTCATCAACATGGAGGCATCATTAAAGAGAAAGTATCTGAGTGCGTTCCCAAAAGCGATTCAATGCTTGCATACAAGATTTCCTCGCTCTTTACTTTTGTACATAATTTGAAAACTGGTTGTGGTTTTTATAGCAATCTATGAAAATTATTTGCAGCACTTGACTCCAGAATAACTTCCGGTTCCGTTTGTTATTACTGTTTTATTTTGATTTTTAAATCCAAGGCAACTACTATTTATTTGTGTGTGTTATTTTGTTGTTTGTTTGATGCTGTTCAAGATTAATTAAAATAATTTTAATGTAATACCGTGTTTTCTATAAGGGTTAAAATCTATACAGGCTCAACACTCCAATTTAAATAGCCTCTCATCTGACTCTTATGAACTAAACACAGACGTAACGATATTTCTATGGCACTCTTTAGAGGATAGTTATAATCTAGATTACATTAAAAATGAATTGCTTATTTTACAACTATTCTTCTAAACTAATCACAGCCAATGATTGAAATTTCCTACGTAACAAAGCTTTTAATACAGGAAACATTAATTCATTCATTAAACTCCCAGAGCCTGCTCTACATCGTTTGAACAAGAAATGCTAAAGTAGTCATTATGTGAGCTGAATAATCTAAACTTTTCGATTAATGATTTCCCATGAAGTCTAGATTTTTCTTACTGTAGTAATTAACAAACATAAAGATATGAAAATTCCAGACTAGGTTATACATTAATATAGCTAAAAATGATTCCACACTTGTATACAAATTTGCTAAAATTTATATTTAGAAAATACAATAACAAAATTAGACAAATTTCACTTGATCATAGCAAAAACATTTTGTTTAAAAATACCCTGTTTTCTGTGCCTGTTGAAAAAATTACTTTTTTGTATCTGATGAAAAAACAACTCTTTTGATACCAAAATATATACCATGTAATACAAGATATGTACTGGGATTTCAATTTCAATATTCTTTTTTAACATTTTTGTTAATCTGAATACTATATATTTCTAGTAAATGTATTTCCGTTGCGTTTTCAAAATCACTAAGGGGCATCAATTTCAATAATGCTTTCAGACAGAATTACACTGCTGAAATTGGTCTTCGTCCAAATTGATTTAACACTCCTTAAGAAAATGAAATTTAAATACCGGATTTATTCCAAGGATAAATAGTTATTGAAACTAACAACCAATCATTCATAAGTATAAATACAGAATAAGCCATCCTCTTGAACTTTGGTAAACCTATTCATTTTTCACTTTTCGTCTTCAAATAAAGCACCATTATAACCCACAATGCCTGTGCACCATACTGATTTAAATAAAAACTGAAGGTTAAATTCTTAAAAATACATTATTAAGGTAGTTCTATTTCATCGTCGTCTTTTTCAAATTCTTCGTGGTCATAAAGAATCTCTTCCAAATTATACACTCTTATAATATTTCTATCCTTTCCAGTAAAGTTATGGGACACAATTAACGTCTTCTCCAATGGTTGAGTACAGATATGGAACGGAAGTTTGCCCTCGTCAGATATCAGGGATCCCACGTCCATCCCGTCCTTTGTGATTCTGTGAATCTTGGCATAACCTATACTGACCACGAACAGAAGGTTGTCGAGCTCAGCTATTCCCCCGACTGAGGCGGGAACCCGGCACTCCCACACCAGCTCCCCCGTGAAGGACACACTTAGAAGCTTAGTGCCATTCACGTAATCCCGGTCTGAAATGTAGAAACGGTCTAAATCCGAGTCTAGAAGCAGAGTAAAACCCGGGGTGATGGGTCTGTTTGTAATTGTATGTAAGTCTATAGATTGCATCTCATCACAGGAAAGGTGAAAAATCTGAACCTGGTGGTCAGAACTCATTAGAACTCCTATGTATTTGCCATTAGAATGTACAGCGAAACCCGTGTGGCTAATTTCCACTTCTTCTTCCTTCTTCGGAATAACGGTTCCCTCTTCATCACTCTCAATGCCCCAGTATTGAAGCTTCTTCCCGGCTATTGTGGCGAAGGATTTCTCCGATACCACTGTGACCCCAATACAATCACGAGT